TTAAAACCCAGGAGGGCATGGAGCTACCTGCCAGAGAGCAGCAGGTAAGCGCATAGTCCCTCCTGTTAGCCCTCAATGTCTACATGTATTTAAAATTGAGAGGTGGGCAACGACGCCAGGGGTGAGGTTGTACACCCTGATGGTAATTTGGATTCCGTGTAGCGTGCCCACCCCTAAAATCCTAAGTTGTGGGAAAAAAATCGAGGCACAGGCAGCCAGAAGGGGACGGGGGGATGCCTCCCCTGCACTGACTACTACCTTTATGCCTTCTCATCTCTCCCCAGTGTCTTATGAACCTGCTCCCAGGAAATATCTTTTATACCAAAAGATTTCTCAGCCCCTTTCACAATTATTATCATCTTCTCTGATTTGAGTTCAACTTGGTCTGTACAATTTATTGCAATGAACAAAATCATCTTCTTCACTGTGATTGCTGGATGAGTTTTGTCAATCTGTTGTCAGTCAGCTAGTGAAAATTATTGAACCGCTCCCTTCCCATCTTTTGCCTTTTTACTTTGGTCACTGGAATATTGCTCTATAATTTGCATAGAAGATGCAAACTATGTTCTGCAATCACTGTCTGTTGGAAAATTTCTTTTTCTCAATATAAATCTATCTTTTAATGCCAGTTTAACAGTGACTTATCTGATACATTTATTAATGTTTTCTCTTTCAGTCAAACTAGTGCACTTATAAAGTGCTTTTCTTCTCAATCTGAACACTCAAAGTACTTTTAACTGCAACCCTCATTCACCCAGTTTGTTTTTTCTGACTTTCTATAAGAGCTAAATGCTAAATACTCCTCAGTGATGTAGTCGTGGGTCAGACATCTATAAAACTCACGCTTGACCTGCAGACAGTCGTTGTCAGGAGGAGAGAAGCTGCAGAGAGCCAAATACTGCAAGGAAGACAAGAAATGACATACAGGTTCATTAGGTTCAAAATGGGAATTAAATCCAAAAGAATAATTACTTTTGATGTGTTCTCTTTGTTTCTCAGTTAAATGTGGGTTTAAAAATCTTTTCAGATCAATTTTTTAATATCTGCATTTTGTTTCACACAATTAATGCCCACAATACACTTAACAGGAAGAAACTCGAATCACAGGCCAATGTCTCCACCCACCGTGGATGTGGAAGGAGTTCATTCATGTGGATGAATGAACTCCTTCCACATGATGATATTTTGGCTGATGTCACCACTGAGCATAGTTTTTAATAAAAACTTCCTGTTATATGTGGTTTCCTAATCCTTTTGCACCTTACACCAAGAATTAGGGGTTTTGTGCTACTTTTGTTCTGAATTTTGTTTTCAATGTTTTTATAAATGAAGATTAAAAGCTATTTTTGACGCTGCCTATGGTATTTTATTTAAAAGCACCATTTTCCTGATATTGGGAATTATCAGGGTTAGAGATAAGCTTTTATTGTGCACCCTCTTTAATGTTTTAATGTCACCAGATTTGAAAACATTTAAATGTCACCTCAGCCCTTTGTTGTGTTAGACTGGGGATGAAGATTCACAGGGAGCAGAACTACTTTTGGTGATTTGCTGCCACCTGCTGTCTGCTTTCTGTGAGTCATGTGAGCCATGTGATTTAAAAAAAGGAACATTTCAAAGAAAATCAAACATCTCTGCATCATTTTTCTGCCTTTGAGAAATGTTAAGTGCTGTTTAAATGATTCAGTGTAAATGAAATTTAAATCTAAAACAGCTAAACATTGCTGCCTATCTCAGCTGTCAGAGGTTGAGAAGTGGGGTACACTCCGGACAGGTCAATGTTAACTGTAACTATGCTCAAAGTGTTAATGCTGTCTCATTTTAATAAACATCACTGTCATATGCGAAACTAGGCTGGCACTTTGGGTGGCAAGAGATCATTTCAGGGTGGCACATGCAACCCCATGCCACCCTTCTAGATCCGGGCCTGGCACTACCAGTAAACAGAATCAGTTTAGACCAGTGACTGATTTTCAGGAGAAAAACCTCAAATCATCTTGAACCATGGAGCAGTAAATGTTCTGTTTGGTTATTGCTTTTGTCAGATTTCAGCCTGTAAATGGTGCATGTTGTCAGAGAGAGGTGGTGTGACTGAATGTGAGACCATCTAAGAAGAAAAGTGACAACGCATCAAGTAGGTAGTAAGCAGACATCCTGTTTGAAAAGACCAAATAACTAAATCAGATAAGTCTGTGTACATGTTGCAACTTTTTAGCAGTAAAGACAAACAGGAAATAAGTCAGAGCGCTGTTTAACAGTTTGGTTACTGTGTGTTTCCTCATTTAGGTGATTTAAACTGAGAGGACATAACAACTCAAGCAGCTTTTCCTGATCACTGAAAACTGGTGAAATACAGGTGAGTATTTTTATTCTTTTGTACTGGCGATTACTGGTGAAACACTCAATATTCCCTCCACTCAGCAGCACCACAGCTCGCTTCTATCAGTGTTCATGAAACGTATTACTGACTAACATCGAGGGCATGCTGGTGCCATCTGGCCTAATAATCAACCTTACATTCTTTTGTGGGGTTCATTGTAAACAATCTGTGATGAATATATCGTTATATTCAGTGTTGTATATTCAAACATTCCAATCTAAAATTTGATTAAAGTATTATTGCAGTTTTATTACAGTTAATAAGACTCGTTAATCACCTGAGACATCTGTTGTGAAAGAAAGGGCCATGGATCAAAATTGTTTGTAGTAGAGCTCAACACAAGCTACGCTACAGTTTGTAAAATTAGTTTGTTGCGTTAAAATAAGGTTAAGACCGTGAAGTTGCATCCTCTCAACAATGTATGTCAGTGGATTTATTTTCTCCAGAAACATGGGTGACTCAACAAATGCGACGTCATCTCCCAACCTCCGACCCTGTGATGTTGTCAGAACACCAGTCCATGCTTTCTTTGTGGTGGTTTACAGTCTGTTGTTTCTGGTAAGTTTCAGATTTTCACATGTGCTCAAGACATGGAACTTCAGCACACCTGCTCTGGTACAAATTGGTTTAAGGTTCTCTGTGCATCTACCAAAGTCCTGCCTTCCCCATCCTTTCTGCACCGCATTCAGGTGGGTTTACTCCTCAATGGCTTCATCATGAAGTTTTACTGTTGTCGGGCTCAGCAGCAGGCATCGAGCAGCTTGATGGTCTACCTGAAGAACCTGACAGCTGCTGACTTCCTGCTCTGCCTCTCTCTGCCACTGCGCATCGCCCACTATGCCAGCAGCTCTCCTATTGTTCAGGAGCTCTACTGCAGCTTTGGAGCTTCTGCCTTGTACCTCAACATGTACGCCAGCATCATATTTATGGGGTACATTGCTGCCAACAGGTACAGAACCATTAGTAATTTAAACTGCAGTTCATAACCATGTTAAAACTGTGATTAATGGGTTAATTACACACATCGTCGCTTTTCAGATTATTAATGACTTCTGAAGATTTGGGAACACTGTGACTGATTAGTGAAGTTTTTCACCGCCTCTTTTCTCTTCACTCTACAGGTATCTGAAGATCGTCCATCCTTCAGGAACTCACGTCCTGCAGACAGTGCGAACTGCCCACATCATCTCCATGGTCACCTGGGTTTTTCTTCTGGCTGCATCAATTACATACACCATCCTGTTTTTCATCACCAAGAAACCACTGACCTCAAACTCCATCAGGTGTGGTTATATGTTAAGGACATCGGTCAACCTGTTCTCCAAAATTACCCATGTCAGCTGCACCATCATCTTCCTCGTGGTCTCCATATCCCTGGTCTTCTTCTACTACAGCACCTCCTGTAGGGTGTTGCAGGCACAGCAGAGGCAGCTGGCCTCCTCTGGCTCTGAGAAGCTGGTGAAGTCTCGCAGGAACATGTTGGTGCTGGTCAGCATCTTCTGTGTTTGCTTTGTCCCCTATCACCTCGTTCGACTTCCCTATACTTTTCTGTGGAGCAGCTGCTCTGTTGGTTCAGTGTTGTACTACCTGAAGGAAGTGGCCACCATGGTGTCAGTTTTCAACATCTGTCTGGACCCTCTTGTTTACTTTTACCTCTGTAAGACTTTTCGGACTCAGGTGAACCTGAGAAAGGCTTTGAGGGGGAAGAACATCCAACAAGCAAACCAGGAGAGTGAGAGCAGGAAGGAGCAGGCTGACATTGTTACAGCAACAAGTTAAACCAATGAGCTTTAAGGAAAAGTTCAACATGTTAATAAATGCTAAGATGTACATTTGTTTTGAGAGTCAGATGAGTTCAGTGATGTGATGGATCCCAAGTCTTCATGAACTCAGCACAAACACACTCCCATGCAGAGAACATGCGTGTTCATGTTTCCACTGTCAGACTTTATCTTCTCAGTCTTTGAGGTTTTCTCATCTTCTGCTGATGTCACAAAACCAAATATCATTTTTCTCATTCAAATCATGATCTCAGCCTGCTCAAAGGTTGTGGTTTCTCCTCTGAATCTTATCAGCAGGTTCAATCAGCAGCTTTTAATTTATTTATAAAGCTTAGCAGAAGTAGTCAAACACATGTCAGACACTGAAGGAACACTCTCTACTCTCTACTCTTTATTTCAGTTGTAATAAAGTCCTGTGACACAGTTTCACAGTAAAAGTCGATAAATGGTCCCCCTGTAGTTGTAACATTTTCTTTTTTATCCTGCAGTTGTGTAACAGGAACTAACAGCTTTGTGGGTGTCCAGTTTCCCTTGGGGCTGTAACTTTTATGATATTCATCGTTTTAAGCCAATTTGAACCATCTTGTGGTTTCAGCGTGATTTGAATCAGCTCAGCTATCTGTCACCTCTCTGGTTCACACGAATATCCTTTATCACTACTGTGAGTGTTTTCGTCTTTCCCTTAAAGAGAAGAAAAACAGTCAAAATATGAACCGTATATCAGGGGTAGCAGTAGTTACTGTAGCTAACTGTGAAATATTGCCACGCTTGCAGCTGTAAATGGCCAATTATCATTCATGTTCTCCCTGAAAATGTCTTTATGTGTGCATACATCAGTATATCCTCACAATACACTTTATTGTAACACTTGGAAGAACAACTGCGCTCTATCTTTGGGTCTGCACCGTACTCAGTGATGTGCTGTTAACAACACTCTACCTATGTGTCACAGACTCCAAGCTCTGCTGAGGCGCTCGTCTTTGACACAAGTTACCACACCAATCACTTCCTGGGTGGTCTCTTTCACATTAAAAGCTTAATTTGTGCTTATGATAAATAAACTGGTACTTCTTGTTTTTTTTTCTTTTCTAAGCAAACACTCAAAGCACTTTTTATTACAAGCTTCATTCAGCCAATCACACATTCATACAAATGCTGTTTTTATAAACCCAAGCACCTCATCTAACATTCTCGCACACTGTGGCAGGCAGAGCTCGAAGAGAAGACGTGCGCTAACCTTACTGTAAGACAGGCCTGTCAAACTCCAGTCCTCCAGTGTGAGCCTCCTGCTTGTTTTTGAGTTATCCCTTTCCTACCTGCTGCTGGTTACCTGGATCAGGTGTGCTCTGCCAATAAGAAGCTACAAGAGCAGGTTAATTGGAAAACAAGCAGGAGTTCGTACGTGTCCTGTAAGACCTCCACCCACAGGAGGCGCCACAGAGGCCAATATATTATTTTCAAAACTACATAAAAAGGAAAAAAAATCACCACTGAGCACAAATACAAACGTTCTTTCAGATGTTGTTTGCTGATCTATTTGCTCTCTTCAATGGGGGCTTCTTGTCAGGAGACCTGAGTCGTTGACCCAGAGTTTTGATTTTTCTTTACTATTGTACTTTGATTTTGCCATTATTTCTTGTTTCTAGTCTTTTGGTTTCTTTGTTAATGTTCGGTCTGTGTTGCTTAGTTGCTCTGTCTCCCCAGTCTGCTGTATCCCCTCTTGTCAAGTCCACATCTCTGTGTTATGTTTCCTGAAAATCTGTCTTTTTTGGTATTTTCAGTTTAGTTATTTTATGTTTCATCAGTAAAGCTGTTTTGACTGCATTATTTTGCTTGTGTGAGTCTGCAATTTGGGTTCTCTTTACCACCACTCCTGCCTGCACACAGCCTTCTCATGAAACTTCTGGCTTTGGTAAATGCTTTCCTTTCTTTTTCTTCTTTGCTGTCAATAAAGTTTAAAAGCTGCCACGTGTTTTCCTTAGTTTATTATGTTTAAAATTGAAGTCTCTGACCTCATGATATACCATGTCTTATTAAAAATGAAGCTGTATCATCCCAACAAGCAGAAATGATCAGGGTTAAAGGGAGGCCTTCATTTGTCAGCTCCCCTTTGTCCCCTTAACTCTAACGGCCTGGGGATGTAGACAATGTGGGCTGGAGGAAGCCAAAGCCCTGCTTTGGTTATCAAAAATGATGTGACTTAATAATACGACCTGTACCCTGAAAGCGCAGTGTGCTTACCATGTAAGATCAAGAAACAAACTTTTTTTAAACAGAATTACCCGGTACTAACACTCAACTTTAAATTAGCCACACTGTGCTTAAAATTACTGTACTGTAGTTACTTACAGTAACCTGCCCTCCGTTTGAATTTTTAATTACACTATAGTCACTACGGTTCACAACGTATCACCACACACACACAGGGCCTTGGTGGGCAGGTGTATTGGGAGGCTGGAGGGTTGGGCTGCAGCAGTGACCCCATTAACTCCTTCACAATTCAATTTTTTCTGCAACTTAGACTTTGAGGGTCCACAACACACCGACCCAACATAGCACCTTCAACACTAAACAATATATTTATAGTGAGAATAGACTTTTAAAAAATGAAGGGGGGGGGGGTATTAATAAGTTGTCTTATTACGTTGTCTTATTATTGTAAGGCACAGGCCCTACAAAAATACAGACAGACCCAAGAATCACACGATCCCCCTATGAGCAAGAGCTTGGTGACAGTCAGAAGGAAAATCTCAATCTTAACAGGAAGAAACCTCTGGCAAAGCCAGGCTAAGGGAAGGGTAGCCATCGTACATGCCTGTGTGTTGGACCAGATTGGCCACAGTAACAACATTTACACTGTTGGGAGTGTGTTCATGTTGAGTTCAGCCTCATATTGATCTCTGATCTCAGTAAAAACTTGTGTTGTTTATGAATCCTTGGGATTTAGGTGACTGGTCTCACTGGAATGAAACACCAAAGGAGGCCAGATGCCTCTGCTGTCCCAGCAACACCCTGTAGGAGGTGCTGTAGTAGAAGAAAACCAGGGATATGAAGACCACGAAGAAGATGGTGATGCAACTTGTGTGGATGGTTCGATAAACAGTGACAAATGCACTTTAAATTCAACATAACATAAAAGTGCAACAAAGGAATATCTTAAAACAAAAAGAAGCCAATAGGAGTGAAGTCACAGATCAAAAATCTTCTGCTTTGTTTGCGCTTTTGATTTCAGCCTGTTAATTGTGCATCTTGTCAAAGAGCTATAAGGTGACTTAATATGAGATAATCTACAAAAAAAGGGCAGACACATGAAGTATGTAATACACTCACACGCTTTATATCATAACATCACTGTCTTTACTTATAGTAGTGACGAAAAACAGGAAATAAGTCAGAGTGCCAGTTATCAGTTTGGTTACTGTGTGTTTCCTGATCTACGGTGATACTTATTAACTGAGGGAACATAACGACGCAAGCAGCTTCTTCTGCTCACCAAAAACTGGAGAAACAGGTGAGTTCTGCCGGTTGCTCATCCTCAAATCTTTACTATTTCTACTGATTTCATACTTAACTTAAAAGATGACTTTTAGTGGCTCCTGTCATGGGAAAGAAAAGCAGTTCACACAGCTGCCTCAGGACTGAAACTGGCTTCTGCCAAGATTCAGATCTCAACTCTCAAGCCTGAAACATTTAATGCCGGCTCTTTTTTGATCATAAAAATGTGTATTTGGGTATTTTTGTTTACACTTTCTGGCAAAATACAAATATTTTCTCAATATTGAACATAAGACATGATGATTCGAAACGATGTGAAACGTTGTGCTTTATATGTGTCAGTTTAAAACTAGTTGTATGCCATTTGTCAACAAAAAAAAGGTGTCATCTGCATACATCAGGATTGATCTC